GGTACCTAATTTACATACTGTACAGACGATAGTAAACTCAACTTACTTGCCTAAACTCTCCGTAGCGTGATGCTGGACGGCAGAAAATATATATATATATATAATTATAATAAAGTTAAAATAAATTAAGTTAATATATAATTATATATATAGTACCTAATTTATATATAATACTGTACAGACGATAGTAAATTCAACTTACCCGCCTAAACTCTCTGTAGCGTGGCGCTGGACTGCGGAAAGTAGTTCGGCTGCCCGATGACGTTTTACAGAATTATAGGAGTTTTTTTTTAGCATGTTTGTACGGATACCGTCGGAGTTTTTTCGCCGTCATATAGGAATCCGAACTATAGGAACCCGTGTTATAGGGGTGGTTTACTGTATATTTACTCCTTACATCCTCCCTTTTGTCATGTTTACTATTCATGTACAGGGATTATGGCGTTTAGACTTTTTTTCGTAGGACACAGTTGGAACTACTGCGAATTGCAGAACAATACCACGAAGCAGAACTTGTGCTTTACAACTTCTTCAAATCACGAGTAAGCGAAGATATTAGTTAACAGAAAGAACACTTCATTGACACTTTTTAGAAAATTTTCTAACACTGGGAACATTATAACTAGTCACTGTGTAGTATACTTCTGTTCTTCCAAGAATTAACAAATTAGTTTTCTGTACAGAAGCTTGTTTTATCTTTTACGAAAGAACAACTTCGACGTATTGATAATACAAAAAATGTATACAGTGTTTAATTGTCGAAAGGACAACTAAACACGATTTATATCTGTTTGAGTCTATTCCACTTGGTTCTATTTATAGGATTTGTGTAGATTTCGAAATCCTTCGAGATAATTTTTGATTCTTTTATACGTTTTACTTTCTCGGCTATTATATATATGTTACTGTGAATGACCGATATCTGGCGAATGTCAACATTGTCTAGTGAATGTCAGCATTCACACACAGTGGTGATATTCGAAATATTGAACAAAGGGTTTGCTAACAGAAAATTTTTCCTTAACAATTTTTTTTTCGCTCAAATGGTGCATTAGCAACATTAGCGCAAAAACTGACCTTAAGATATTCATATAAATAAATAAAAAAATGCGTTCGCAAAATTAAGTCAGTTAAAATTTAACATTGTTAATGCCATAACTATATTTTTTTTGATAAATAATAAAAAAAAAGTGTTCAAAATGGTTTATTTTGTACATATTTTAATATTTTTCATTCAAAATATTTTATAAACATAAAAATTAGCTGTTTTTTTTTTAATCAGAAAAAGTCATAGGGAAAGCAGGTTTAACTGCTTTCCCTATGACTTTTTCTCAAGAAAAAACATTAGGTATTATTATAATAATAGACAGATGTCATCGTCTCTCGAAATACAATATCTTTTTTATTTTAGCCCGACACGTGTACTGCAGTCATCTTGTATTTTCTCGCGCGCGTGGGATTGTGGAATCTCTCGTATGACTGGACCTAGTTTCGAGAACTCTCTTGAGTCGATCGCGATTAAACCTCGTTTCAGTCGAGATTGAAACGGTCGATGGAGGTTGCACCAAGGCGAACGGTGTATAAGGCTCTAGTTTAGTAGTGTTACAGAGTATAATACGTATATTTTAACATATTTTTAAAAGAAAAAACCACTGAGAAATGTTACGTGTGTTTAACAACGGGTTCGGAAAACTTTGAAAATGTTAACAACGGGTTCGGCCGAACCTGTGCGAACCCGCTGAATATCACCACCACTGCTCGTATTACATTTTTTAAAACTAAATTGCTTTTTATGTTACTTTGTTTTATATGAAACAAAATTTCATATATAAGTGATTTAAATATTACAAACGAAAATTTATGTTGTTTTTAATGTCAGAATAAGAATAGATAGTATAGAAGTATATGATAAATTCAAGATATATATGGTGATTGAAAATGCACAAATTCAGTAAATAGAAAACTGATTGTGAAATCCAGGATAGTTTATATTTTTAAATTCAGCATCAGTTGTCTGTATCAGATTGATATATTCAAATCATATTTGCTTTGATCTGAACAAAAGCTTAAATTTGTTAGTGTAAAAAATAAGACATTTCAATTTAAAATCTTTAATGGTAAAAATTCTAAATAAATTATCTCAGCAATAAATAAAAGATGAAAAATGTAGGTAAAACGTGCATAATACATGCACGTTTTTTTCTTTTAAGAAAAGTTGCATTTCAGTAAAACGTGCATGTATTACGCACGTTTTATTGAAAAGCAACTTTTCTTAAAAGAAAAAAATAAAGTAAAATACTTTTAAATAACAATATCAAAAGCGCTCAGCAACTAAATAAAGAGAAACAAAACACCTTTTTGCCGAGAAATAAATATAATTTTAAAAAACAAACGTTTTCAGCCTAGTTAATAGGCCATCTTCAGATCGAAAAATGGAACGTAAATGTTCCATTTTTCGACCTGAAGATGGCCTATTAACTAGGCTGAAAACGTTTGTTTTTTAAAATTATATTTATTTCTCGGCAAAAAGGTGTTTTGTTTCTCTTTATTTAGTTGCTGAGCGCTTTTGATATTGTTATTTAAAAGTATTTTACTTTATTTTTTTCTTTTAAGAAAAGTTGCTTTTCAATAAAACGTGCGTAATACATGCACGTTTTACTGAAATGCAACTTTTCTTAAAAGAAAAAAACGTGCATGTATTATGCACGTTTTACCTACATTTTTCATCTTTTATTTATTGCTGAGATAATTTATTTAGAATTTTTACCATTAAAGATTTTAAATTGAAATGTCTTATTTTTTACACTAACAAATTTAAGCTTTTGTTCAGATCAAAGCAAATATGATTTGAATATATCAATCTGATACAGACAACTGATGCTGAATTTAAAAATATAAACTATCCTGGATTTCACAATCAGTTTTCTATTTACTGAATTTGTGCATTTTCAATCACCATATATATCTTGAATTTATCATATACTTCTATACTATCTATTCTTATTCTGACATTAAAAACAACATAAATTTTCGTTTGTAATATTTAAATCACTTATATATGAAATTTTGTTTCATATAAAACAAAGTAACATAAAAAGCAATTTAGTTTTAAAAAATGTAATACGAGCAGTGGTGGTGATATTCAGCGGGTTCGCACAGGTTCGGCCGAACCCGTTGTTAACATTTTCAAAGTTTTCCGAACCCGTTGTTAAACACACGTAACATTTCTCAGTGGTTTTTTCTTTTAAAAATATGTTAAAANGTTAATAGCGATATACTAATATACTAATTACATGGGATATAATAATATACTACACTAATAATGGATTTTTTCATACTTTTCGGTTATCCGACTTTTCAATTATCCGACCAACCCCAGTCCCCAATTGAGTCCGATAATCGAGGCTCTACTGTAGAATTAAAAAAAATTACTGTTTTTATTTAATATCTTCACAATAAGAATTCCAAAAATTTCTAAAGCAATATAGGAATTTGTTTGAATTTTGTTCTTTAAATACAGAAATACATTCGATTTTTGAAACTTAATAAAGTGTTGAATATTTTCATGTGACAAATTAATAACTTGATTCAACAGTTGTACATTGTACATAAAACATTTCAAAGTGTATTGGAGGTGAACAAAATTAAATTGATTTAAAATATATTTTTAGCTACTGACAAGAATTATAGTAAATTTTTAACAAAAATTGTGTAAGCAAGATGTGATAAATTAATGAAGTTTATTAACCAATTGTTTAGAAATCCATTTTATATTAATTAAATTTTATAGGAATGTTATCGTGTTCTGGTTCAAAAGTTAATAAAGTGAAATAAATCTTTGCATAATGTTTTCTAAACAGTAATTGGATAAATAAAACAATTTCAGTATCCTATTAGATGAAGGATTGTAATGATCAAGCCAAGTTAGTATTAATATTAGTGTGACTAATAAAATTTGATAAAAAATGAAGCAACACAATAACTTTGCATCTGTTCATGTAAGTCAAATGTATGATTACTCATAGCAATTCACTTGATTTTAATACAAGATTGACAAAAATTTTAAATTTTTGTCAAATTATTTGAAAATTTTTATCTGTTCTCTGAACTGATACTTTATCTACTTCATTGTAATGACTATACCTTCAAATTGAATTATCATCAGAAGCAGGAAAAAGTAACAATTCTACATGAGTTACTATATAAATATTTTTGTAATTATTATTAACTTGGCTTGTAAATACTGAAAAATACTTTACATCACTTGAAAATATCAAGTTAGATACTGTGCAAATATTTTTAAGTAAAATATCTTTTAATAAAAAGATCAACATCAAGCATAGATAACATGATATGATGATTTTAACATCATAAATTTATATTTATATATTTTTTACTTTGATCATTGAAATTAATATCTTAATTTATAAAATTTTATATTTGAGTAATTTTATCTATTACTTACCTTCTAGTAGTTCTAAACTAGCACCACCACCAGTACTAACATGACTAACTTTATCCTCTGTCTTCCATTTTGCACAACATGTTGCAGTGTCACCTCCACCTAAAAGTTTTAATCATATGTTTTTAACAACTTGATATTAATCATAAAATCAAAACATAATGTATTAAAAAATGCAACTATTAAATGAAAACTCAAAATGCTCTGGAAAAAAATCATTCATTTTTATTTTTCAATACAATCATCAATTACTGTATTTTTCAAAGCTGAGTTAAGAAATTGGGCTAATGTGATATCTGTTGAAATTTTGACAATTTTCTGCAACAACAACAATTGATTATAGATGAGTTTAATTCAAGACTGACAATCAAAATCACTACAGTACATGTCAAGGCAGTTTTTGAAATCCTCAAACAAAATTCAAATATTTATATGCTATATTGAAGTAATTAAAAAAACAATGACTAAGTAACTAGAACTATGTTGTATGCCTTTAGAATTAGCACAAAGTTGCTGTTGAGAACAAATCTCACAGGGAACATTTCTTTTTTGATGGAAAAAGGTTTATTTTCTATAATTTAGTAAGGACGTACATTTCGGGTTGAACACCCCTCTTCAGTCCTAAAAATTAGTTATTCCAGCTGTTACTTAAAACCATGGGGTAAAGTAAGTAAAACTGTAGTAATAAAATAATTTTGGTTAAATTGTATTAAACCATGGGCTAATACTAGCAAATTGTAAAAATAAATATAACTATGTTAAACCTTTGACTTTCAACACCATCCTTGCAGTTCCAGCACTTATGCTAAAAACATTTGTTGTTATTTACATTTCATAAGCCTGCATCAGGTTTCACACACACCTAGCTTCAATTTGATAACATTGGAAATTGGAATTTTATGTGGTAAGTGATGAAAACATTTGTTTTTATTAATTAATTATAAATTCTGTGAAGTGTTGAAAGTCAAAAGATACTTAAAGAAGATTGGTACACTTAAGAATTGCATCATTTATCAATAATACATTGGACACACATCCAAGTCAAGATGACAAACAAGATTGGTGAAGACGATCTGATAGCACACTCTACAAAAGCGAATCAAATACAGTAAGACCCCACTTAACACGGGGGATGCGTTCCTAGATGACAAAGTGCTAAATGAAGCAGTATTAAACAAGGTCATTTTAACAGAGTAAATAGGGAAAGGGAAACACACGACCAAAAACAAACAAATTTTACTTTAATTTTAAGTTATTTTATAATAATTTGCCTAATAATATATGTCAAATAAGACATAAATGTATGCACACAGAAATGTAAAGTTCATTTTTTGTGATGAAGGTCCTGACTTCTGAAATTCTTGTTTTTTTGCAATAACGTCATGTAGTTTCATTTGTCGCTTTCTTTTTTTTCCTTAAACAAATGTCGGCAGCTGAAGATTGCATCCAAAACACCTCGTTTTGCTTTTGTGCTCCTTTCAAAATCTGGATCAATTGCTACAATTTGATCAACGATTTTAGTTATCGTTACCAAACTTTTACTAAGGAAATCTGTAGAGAAATTTTTTGGGCTTTCGTTTTCAGAATCTCTATTTTCCAGTTCTACAAAAATTCCTTGTTCTGCTAGTTCTTGAAGGTCATAGTTGGCAAGGCTCTCACCAGAAACCTGCAGTAAATCCTCAATATCCTGCTTGTCTACATCTCCTAGTCCTGCTATATCGATTAACTTGACAATTTGGTCAATATAATGATACAGCAATAGACTGAGAATTCTTGGATACCTTCAGCCATAACTATTTTTACACTCCATTCATACATTTATTAGTTAATTTTTGGCAATCAAAGTTGATATTATCTAAGGCATCCATGATGTTATATTATTTCCAAACTTGTACCAAACAAACATAAATTTAAGGAAAGTACAGCACTATGACAAATTGCCACCTTTTGCTGATTGGTTTGTGTTTGGGAATAATCATATTATATATGAATCAATGAAATGCCACAATAATTTAAATTAGCGTAAATTTTGAGCTTTTTTTAGGCTTCGAGTAGACCGCATTATATCGAATCAGCATTAAGCGGGATCTTACTGTATTAATTTTGTTTGAAATAAAATTTATAAATTCTTGTAATCAGGTAGTTGTTCAGAAGAATTTTTCACTGAATATACAGTAAGGGATGTGATTTATAGATTCCAGAGAAACCAGATAATTTTTATTATAGCTTACAGTGACCGTAAATAAAAATGTTCAGTTTCCTTTTGCACATACGCGTGGAATGTGCTATAAATGGATTGAACGGAACATAACACTTAGGTAACGAAAGTGAATAGAGTCATTGCACATGCACAATAAATGGGTTGAACAGATCACAATCACGAATATATGTCTGACAGACAAAAGTCCTAACATACACACTTCACTACTATAGTGGAGTGTGCTAAAAATGTTACTGTTTATGGAAGTTTTACATTTTTTCAGGAACATATCTAGCTAATCATTGTAGGAAAGATATCAGCAATAAGTACTTGCATACAACTTTTTATAGATACATATTAGAGATTTATTATACTACATAAACACTATAAATCTATACTACATACATATTTTTACAAATACATACACTTATGTAAAACCTATTGATATATCTATGTAGCATTATAATATAAATCTTTCAAAAAAATATTTATATCAACAAAAATTATTTTGAAAAATAAAACATGATTTTATCCTACAAATACAGTAGTACTTTGTACTTCAAACATTCCAGAGTTCAAACAGTCATTTTGAATGAAGCTTCTACATTCGAACTGCACATGCAATGAAAAAATATGAAAAACTGTTAACTGAACAGAAGTATATTTCTTTTATATGTTGTAAATGCAATTCATAAAGTACACAAATGCAACAGCTCTGAACTGTGAGAAAATTTAAAATTGAAATTTTTTTAATCTAATTTATAGACTTAAATCAAAAGTAAATTTTTCAAATCTTAAAAACTTTTTAGACATTTTCAGATATCTTAAGTTCTTTTTCAGCTTTTCAATCTATTTTATTATAGAATAGTCCATTCTCTATCAACTAATTTTAATACAGTAGAACTCATTTATTGTAACCACTTTAAGACTCATCTCCTGTACTAATGATAAAACAAATTGATAATATTGACAGTCTTTTACCACAATGACCATTAACCAAACAGATGATGGCAGCATTAATTAAACAAAAATTTGAACAACAAATGCACTTGTGATGTAATTTTATTTTGGAAGTCTCCTGCACAAAACTGTTCAAGCCAGAATTATCTNAGTTCAAATGAAATTAAACTTACACAAAAATCCTCAATCGTAAGCAGTTTTGAGAAAAAAAAAGGAAACTATTTTATGTTATTGAATTTATATATTCTAGCACAAACATATTCATAAGAGTGACAGACATAGTGGTTACATTTCAGCCTTCCAGTGGTGACCAAACTTTTCAATTGGTGAACCAAATTGCATATAAATCAAAGCCAAAAATATTTTTATTTTCCAAATACAGTGTACCTCTTACTTTGAACAACTTTGAATTTTCTAATGTTCAAACTTTAAATTTGAGAAAAATTTGGCTGTTTGAATGATAAATGATGTTTTTATGTTCAAACAGTTCACGTACTGGAAAAATATACTCACTGAATAAACACCATCTGTTGTGTGCATAAGTCATTTCTTGCATTACACTTGTGTTTTCAGTACTTTTTTGCTTTATTTTTGGAGTGTTTGTATATATATATATATAATCCCTACCTATTAACCATGGAATCCAAGAAGTGTGTGGAAGCAACAAAGTCTAACAGGAAGGTTATAGTATCAATGATTTGGGGTAAAAAGGAACTTATCATGAAGCATGAAAGCAGTATACATGTGACAGATTTATCTAGATGCCAAAGTTGAGTGGGTGCACCATTCTTAAGAACAAAGAAACAATAATAAAAGCAGCAAATGGGGCTAAAGGTGTAACTGTGACAACATTCACCTCCAGGATATCACATGTTATTGAGATGGAAACCTAGTGCTTGCTTCTAATTTATCCTCCTAGTGTATCCACTCTAGGAGGATAAGTGAGAAGCAATGGGTTTATGATGATAACTCCAAGAGGATTATTTGTGTGTTTAGTGACCTTAAGAAATGAGACATCACCACTCCACCACTCTAAGGTACAGTACACTAAATGCAATATGCAATTCTCATTTTATTATATAGTATTTACATATTTTTTGTTTTTGTGGTTTAATTTATTATTTGGGGCATTTAACTGTATTACTTTTATCTTAAATTATGTGTATTGGCTGTTTAAGTTTATTGAAATGGGTATTATTTATGGTCTGGAAACAGATTAATTCACTTTTCCCATTAGGAATAATGGAAAATAGATTCAGAGTTTGAATGACCTCTTAAAACAAATTAAATTTGAAATATGAGGCATTACTGTACTGATGTACAAGAAAAAAAACTTAATTAAATTACATATTGGCAATATGGATGATTAAATAATGTAAGAATAACTATAGTGCCAAATTAACAGACAGACAACTCAATTATCCAAGCTTGATACGACCAAGTAACTTTCTGGATAAATGAAATTTTGGATAATCCAAAAACTTGATTTTGTAGTTTGGGTACATCAAGTATTGTGCCTTTAAAGTTTCATGTACTATGAATATTGTAATGCAGTTACTATATTTCAAAGTAATGATCTAGATTTGCAACACTACAATTGACAGATAACATAATTTCAAGTTACATGGAGAATTTAGTCTCTGTGTATTATATTTTATAGCATGTACAATGCTACATGCTCTAGTTTTTTAAAATAATTTCAAATAATTGCATTTTACATAATCAAGTTTCTACTGTATGTTTATAAACTTCTTTAAATTAATACAGTAGAGTCTCAAAAACTCGGCACTCGATAACCCGGCAGTCCGGATAACTCGGCCACACCCTGGCAAGGCAAAAAAAATCCTTAGTTAACTAATTTTCGTTATAGACAGCTTTATGCCTCAATGTATTTTTCTGAGGTCTGTCTTATCGGGTAAATTACTGTACACAGTGTATTCATTAATTTTCATTTTCATGTAGTAAAGGCTCTATGCCTTCATAAAGGACATACTTTTCCTTTGTTTAAGGGTATTTGGGCAGTTTATTCTCTGCTGTATTCTCAAGTAAACAATACATGCAAGTACAGTACAGTATTTTCTGAGGACTCCACACTCTTACTTATTCTTTTTTAACCCCATTCCCGATAACTCGGCATTTTCACAAACTCGGCCACCCTTCAGTCCACATTAGGCCGAGTTTGAGACTCTACTGTATATGTAACCAATGAAATTGGCACTAGTAAGTAATATTTATATTTGAATAACTAAATATTTTTAGTAAAATATCTTGAATTTTATAAAAATAATCTAAAAATGTAATAATTTAAATATCAAAAATATAATGAAAATTAACACACTAAAAATAAAAAATTTTTAGCTAAAAAACAAATAAAATTATACTCTTTCTATTTCCAACTTCAAGCATTTTTTGAAAAATATAAACCAATATTTAAAGAATTTTCTATATGTATAGTTGCAAACCAAAAGAATAAGATGTCAAGCATTATCAGTATAATAAACAGTGAAAGTTCACCCAGAGACCAATTTAAGATTGCTGGTGTAGTATACAGAATGTCATGTACATGTGGAAGTCCAAATTATTACATTGGAGAAACCGGAAGAAGATTAGAGTTGCAAATAAAGGAACATGAGGCGGCCATTAGACTGACAAGAATGGAATCAGCATGGTTTTTACATTGTAGAGAATTTAACCGTAATATAAATAGAAAAAATACTAAAATATTGTATAAAATAGAAAATAATTTAGAAAGAAAAATTATAGAACATTTTTGTATCACCAAACATGAAAATGTACAGTAGATCCCCCTATAAGACGGTAGATACGTTCCGTTCTTTATGAATCAATTTTGTAGGAATCATAGTTTACGGACTACGGCTGTTTGAAAGGTTTTCTTTCATAAAATTAATCGATTCTAGACTAATTCGACTCAACATTTCCAAAATACGTATATTTTTTTGAAAATAATCCGTATAAACTACGTTATAAACAAAAAATTGTAGGATTGCTTACCGAGTGTGTACCGTTCGACTACGCCCGTTGCTAAAGCTTGGTTTCGTCGCGGAACAGCGCATCAAATTGCGGCCGCGATTTCTGATATTATTTTTCTGCGAAAACTTCGTTGACCTTTGGAGACATCATTAATATAAATAATTTTTATGGCCGTTAAATAAGAAATGTTTCTTTCACAAGAAATGTATAAAATTACAGTACTAAACAGACGATAGGTCGCCTAACTCGCCGTAGCGTGACGCTAGACGGCGAAAAATATATATTTAATTATAATAAAGTTACAATAAATTAAGTTAATATATAATTATATATACAGTACCTAATTTATATATAATTAATATATAATTATATGTACAGTACCTAATTTATATATAATTTATATAATACTGTCCAGACGATAGAAATCTCTCCGTAGCGTGGCGCTACGGACGGCGGGAAAGTAGTTCGGCTGCCCGATGACGTTTTACGTATTATAGGAGTTATTTTTACCGTTGTTTACGGATACTGCCACAATTTTTATAGGAATCATAACTATAGGAAACGGTTTTATAGGGGGATCTACTGTACTTAATTTGAATGCTGGAATGATTGTTGATGCATGCTGGGAACGACTGTTGGATATAAAGCATAACCAGCGATTGATATCTTGATGTATCCACTGAGGAGGCCTGATGGCGAAATGCATTTGGATCGTATTAATAAAATAATGATTGTTCCTTGCCATTTATTTGTCGTTTTTTGGCTCTTAGAATCCTCAAAGTCGGAAATAGAAAGAGCATAATTTTACTTGTTTTTTAACTAAAAATTTTTTATTTTTAGTGTGTTAATATTTATACCAATCCCATTGATTTTTAATAATTGAATTTATAATGAAAATTAACAATCATTAAATCAAAACAGTTTCCATTTACTTACCAATAATAGTAGTAGCTCCTTTACTTGTCACATTAACAACTTCATCCATCACTCCTTTCGTTCCTTGGGCAAAATTCTCCCATTCAAATACACCCATAGGACTATAAAAAAAGTTAAAAAGTTAAATGTGAAAGTTCTTAGTGTTTAGTAATATCCACCAATTAAAATGAATAGAATATAAAAATCAAGATATGTTTTAAAGTTTGCATAACTATTTGAAAAATAAGATGTTGTATTAATCACTCAGAGTTGTTTTTATAATTTAGATTTATTTATTTTTTTTGTCATTTTAAATTAGTTTGTAAATATTAAGGTTAGCAAAATTCCAGCATAGAATAAGATTCTTAATATTGATACAGCATATATTGATAGAATTCTATAAGTTAGCAAGCATAGAAGAATACATAAGCTTTAGTTGCATCTGTTTAATTTCAAAGTTCTTATGGTTCTGTATGGTCTGGTAGAAAAAGATTCATGGGGTGACACCATAAGTTATTGAACTGTTAACACCAATCCTAGTGATGCTGCTGATATAAGTATCCTGCTGTTTCTGAATATTCTGAGGTTCCAATTAAATTTTGCATTTTTCACATTTAGATATCATGTTATATTCATCCTATTAAAAAACTGCAATGTTTATACTGCTAATCAAATTCAATAGACAGGGAAAAAATTTCTTAAAATGGATATTTCTGAGATATATATATGTTCTTACCCATTCCAAACAATTGTTTTTGCTCGTCCAACTGAAGCTTTAAATGTTGCCACACTTTTTGGACCACAATCTAAACCCTGAAATTTTTGACACATTTAAAATTAATGTCATAATTCAAATTATAAATATGATTTAAACTTACCATCCAACCATCAGGAATACCAGTTTCTACTGTGGCTGTACCTGTGTTAGCTTTTTCATCAAATTTATCAGCAGTAACAAAATCTTCTGGCAAATGAATTTGCACATTATTTTTTGCTGCTTTTTCCATTAATTTAGAAACTATTTTTGCTCCTTCATCATCATACAAAGAACCACCAATCTAAAATATAATATTTTAAACAGTTTTGAAATTATTAAAAAAATACTGTCTGTAAATAAGAGACCTGAACTAAAATATAAAAATTTTTACAATAATGATAATCTTACAGATATCTATTAATTAATGAACTTGACTATTTTAATAAACTTTGTTTATCTGTATCTTTAAAATCTAAAAGTACCTTAAAAAACGCTTAATTTTTTAATTAATACGATAATCATAAAAAGCCATTAAAAAAATAACATTAATATAATAATCCAACAATCATGTAAATATTTGGGCTATAATATGGCTATAAACAAATAATTAATACAAACAAATTTGGTACTAGAGGTGAGCATTAGGTGCCATTTCTTATCTAAATTAATAATTATAATTTTANTAGTAAAAAATTTGGCACTAGAGGTAAGCATTAGGTGCCATTTCTTATCTAAATTAATAATTATAATTTTAATAATTTAATAAATAATTTAGAACCTTCTGGAAGAAAAAGAAAGCCCTGACCTGGGGCAGGGCTTGAACCCGCAGCATCTGCTTGCTTTGCTTGGTGTCCAGGTAGCGCAATTGATAACGCACTGCATGGCAAGTGGAGGCTGCAGGTTCAAGCCCTGCCCAGGTCAGTTGTTTTCTTCCAGAAGGTTCTAAATTATTTATTAAATTATTAAAATTATAATTATTAATTTAGATAAGAAATGGCACCTAATGCTTACCTCTAGTGCCAAATTTTTTAGTATTACAGTAATTATTTGTTTAGAGCCATATTATAGCCCAAATATTTAGGTGATTGTTGGATTATTTTATTAACTCATTGGGCTTTGAGATGTACAGTACATTATAACAACATTAATTGCAAAAATTTATTGAATGCAATAAATTTTTTTCTTTACAGTATTTACATTGAAAAATTTTTTAAATGACTCTTTTGGCATTTTTATTTTGAATAAATTTCTTTTTGCCTGTCATATTTTGCATTAGCTACATTGATTATTATCTTTTTTATTTAATAAAGTTTGATGAAAGTTTAATAAAACAACTAGTTCTTAGGCTTTTGAATTTGGACAAACAAAAATTAAATTATATAAAATTGGTGTCAGATATCATCTAACTCTTTGGACACTCATATCAAGCATTCTACAAATTTCACTGGTACCAGTCTTTTAATAATGCATTATTAAAAAGCTATGTATAACCATGTATTTAAAACAGACCTAACCAATTGCAAAAAGGTCATCTCTGTAAAGAAAGACTGTTTGTTACTGGTGATTGGACATGACAGATGTGAAGACTTATTTAATTTTTTCCAATTTTTTTATGTGTAAGATACCATACATATGTTTGATGAAGTCTGATCAGATAATGGAGTTAGTGTGTGCATCCATGTGTGGTTAGGGAATGTTGTTATAAACATAAATACAATGTATGTAAATTATTATATATTAGATGATAAGTTCTGCAATTATGATGAATGATCAAATAAGTTTACTTACTATCTAAGTAAAAAATTATATTAAAAAAAAAAAGGTAACAATTATTACTCTATTGACTATGGAATTTAGACATGATATATTCATAATACAACATACTTCTAGTGATGATATAGTTGAAAACAGTATTTAGAATATTGTAACGTGATTTTTCGGTAAATATAAATATAAATGAAATATAAATATTCATTGTTATTACTCAGAATTCTAGAATAATAATTTCTATAGAAAAAAATCAGCATATTCTTTAAATGATGATAAATTTTATTCTATAATAGTAACAAATTATGAATTATTAAATACTTCAAACTGAAACAATTAAAACATTTTTGTTAACTTTTAACTGATATATAGATTTATTTTAGATTTATACTTGCAAAAATTATTTAATAGTAAGACAGGTGCAATCAGACCCAACAGCCTCTCCCCACATCCAGAAACACAGACATATGGTGAGAACTGGGTATCATCTGACATGGTTGCAAAGCAATTTGCAGAGGCAGGACAGCATTCACAGTTTCTTTATGTTGATTACAATAACTCCCAAAACTGGCAACTTTGTTCACAATTGTATTGTGATTATCAAGCACAAACAGCCTTGAAATGGCAACACCATCATTAATGACAAATTTTGCTTTAGTCAAATACCATCATGTTCACATTTAGAGGATTGGGGATTGTGTATGTAGAAGTGAATAATTTCATTTTTTTTAAATGCTCTCTTAGCTTTCACTCTTGAAAATGAAGTACCAATATTAATACATATACAGTATTTTAATTTTTGGCACTTGTCAAAGAAATTAGAAGTTAAGCAATTTGTGGAAGTTGTACACACATTCTGTAACAACAGAACAGAGAAAGACAGACATTACAAACTAAAATATGATATCACAAATAAAATACCCTGCTTAGCAAATTAAAAGGTTTATTTATAATATATTGATAGATATTATACAAAATAATCAAAAACTATTAGAAAAAACTTCTTGTAAAATAAGCAATTTTAGAAATTAAAATAACTAATACATTCTTTTGATAAAAGCTAGATACTTTTATCAAGAGGGGAAAAAATATCTCTAAATAAACCTAAGTAACATTTAGATATTGATTATAATCTTTTTTGGAAAATAAATCTTATTTAGTGTTATGAAAGAAAATATTAAAATGAAAATATATTAGAATATTTTATTATAATATAAATTATGAAATATCAACATAAAACCAATTTAACTACTAACTATTTTGTCACATAAAAATATATATATTTAACAATATTCTTTATAATGAACTATTTAGAAATTCCTTGTTACAATTATTGTTGTGTGATGAGATGATAATTATTTAAAATAATATGCTGGTGTATATAAGTAATTTCCCAAAAATAATTAGCCTATTGGTAGGCTAATTATTTTTGATTTTAACATTAAGTCATTCATTAATTTTTTTTATTTAAGTCTACTGCCAGTAAATGAGTCAGTTAATTTTATAATGTTTAAAATGTTAATTTACCTGTAAGGCAAATGACAAATTTTGAAATGTATTTTTAAATGAAAAATTTAGATTTTCAATAAAATTAAAGTTTTATAATTGGAGATAAATATTAAAAATTAATACCTTCATTCCTTTTAATTCTTTTAAAAAGGTGAAAGCCATTCCTCCACCAATTATCATTTCATTAACTTTATCCAACATATTTTCAATCAATTGTATTTTGTCTTTTACTTTTGCACTGAAAACAAAAGAAATATTAGAAATTTGGTGAAGAATACTTAATCAAAAATTTTAATACAAATAAAAATTTTAATAATTGTAGAATAATACTAATAAGTAATTGAAAATCAAATGAAATAATACTTTAATTTGTTAATATAAATTTTTAAGAATCACAATTTCAGTCTTCAGTTTTTATGCATTTTCCTATGTACTCTTTTTTTACATTGCTTCTCTTTATTCCAAAGACTTGTTCTTTTATTTAACCAGAAATGTTCTTTTCAAAGAATCTACAAGATTGCAATTTTTTTCATTTTTCTTTTAGTAATTGATAAAACATTCTTACTCTAATTCATTTCATTTTGCAATCTAAAAAGTAAGAGTTTTTAACATTTATTACAATTTACATTACAATTTATGAAATATTAACTAGTTTTATTTACTTATTATTATTATCAATGCATAGTTAGCCTGAAAAGTTTCATATTTAAATTAACTAACTTTAGCTAATTTATAATTTATTATGTCCCAAGTATATTATCAATTTAACAAATATTTAAGCAGGCAATTTGAGATAATACATAATAATACTTCATAGATAAAACATTAGATAGCAAGATATATTTGTACAAATAGGATTTAACTTACAATCCATTACATAAAAGCAGTTTCTTTTCAAATAACGATATAACACAATTGAGTTTCTATTTAAATTCATTCATTTTTTAGCTGCTGTTTATATCATTTTCCATATTTTTATTTGAATAATATGCTAATAAAGTGATTTTTTTTAAATATTTAAAAAGTTTTCTTCTCTAAAATAGTGAAAGCTTGAAGATAAATGTCAGTTAAAGATGATAAACTTTGTATAAATGATAAAATGAGAAAAATCATAAAATACAGAAAATGTAAAGAAATTTGTTTCCTCTTTTTCAATTTAGTTCAATTGTCAATTTAATTATATGTTTTTTATTTATTCCTCAACTATAATCATTTTGGAATTGCAATAGAAAAGCAATAAATTTCCATAGAAACTTACCCTCCAAGAATTGCTAAAAATGGACGTTCTGGATTTTCTAATGCCTTTGCAAAATATTGAAGTTCTTTTTTCAACAAAAATCCGGAAGCTTTTTGTGGCAACTCTACACCTACCATTGAACTAATACAAAAGAGAAATGTTATAAAACGAAAAATATTTTGAAATTAATATTGAAAATAAATACCTATGTGCTCTATGTGCAGTTCCAAAAGCATCATTCACAAACACATCACCTAATTTTGTCAATGATTGCCTGAATTTTGCAACATCATCTGCATTGGCCTTAATCTAATTATGAAATTTTAAATTCAGTAAGTAATAAATATAAAAATAATAATTGCTAAAAATATCTGTTTCTCAAATAGAAATATGAGGTTATTCAAAAAGAATATCAGTATTTTAGATGCATATAACTTTGGTTATTGGAAACTTAAAAATATATAGTTACATCAAAAGAATGTAAAACTGTTCAAATTTAATCTTTTACATTACAATTCCTCAATGTGTGATCCTTATGTTACAAGGAACACATCTAAACTTTAGTCCAATTTCTACACTCACTCCAACTGATTCCTTATCTTTCCACAGCAGCCATAATTCAATTCTTTAGTGTTCAGAGATTTTAGGGTAAAGGTGCCACATAGGTGATGTCTTTTGTGAGGGCCGAACTAACCCTCAGTAAAGTGTTATTTTCAATTTTATTTATTGGAACTTTAAGCAAGTAAAATCGAAACGTTAGGCTAAAAGCCATAAAACTTATTTCCCACGGAGTTTGTTCCTTGTTGAGTCGGATCAAGTTAGTCAGGGATGTGTCACCAGGAACTTTGAATGGAAAAGACATATTGGACGGGCGACCGTTAAAGGCCATCACCTGACCTCATGGAAAAAACCCAAGAGGAATGAAAAGGAAAAAAAGAGAAAAAAAAACCGACCCCGAAGTCAGTCGTCATCCGAAGTCCCTCTACAAAAGTCGTCATCCGAAGTCCCTCTACAGAAGTCGTCAGAAAAAAGCCGCCCAACCAAGTCGTCCTCCAAACCATTAAAACCGTGCCCAGGATTAAAATCGTAACACCGAATTAAAACCGCGACCAGGATTAAACCGGAGAAAACATTCGTGCTGGATTAAGCCTCTACACTCCTCCGTGCCTCCACCCCAGTGAACGGACAAGATTCTGATTCAAGATTCAACGACAAGATTCAAAGAACTGTCCATCCAAGAACTGTCCATTCAAGATTCAAAGAACTGTCCATCGACAAGGTATTTATCAACCCGCGATTCGGTTGTAAACTCTCCTCTCTCCGCGGCCTAGTATATTTAAGGACAATAATATGCCGATAGTATTTAGTATCTCTGTGTAGTATTTAGTTCGACTTTATTAAAATCGTTATTTACTTGTTACTATGGAGTCCGAGTAAGTTACTTCCGCGTCTCTCTCCTCACCTCTACTAAGAATCCAAGCGCTCACACGCTACTGCTCGCGAATCTTTAGACTTAACGTCGCGAGTTCCGAGTCCCCTAGAGGCTCGGTGGTGTCATCCTGACAGGGCGCCAAAGAGGTGCCGACCCTACGGTCACACTTTTATACAGTCTCACAAAAAAAAATCAAATAATAAAAATACCTGGAAACATGGATGACCAATCATATAGAACAAGATCTGCTTCAGTGCATCCTATCCATTGATGTGGGAGAGTCTCATTCAAAACTTCCAGACTTTCTTATAAAAACAGTGATGTCTCATCTTATTAGAAAGTGTAGTTTTCAAATTCCTCATTTAACTGACAGTCAGTTTTCTAGCATGTTCATATATGATTTTTCAATTACCGCCCTCTCAGCCAAAAAGAATGACCCATACTCATTTGTATAAGAAATGGCACAGAAAACATTTCTTTTAGTGAATCCCACTGATGCCCAGTGGTTGTACCTAAGTTTTTATTCCCCATATTCCTACATTATGAGTATTCATTTTACCACTTAAAGCAAAACTTCACTTTATCAGAATAAAAATCAAGCAAGACAAAAATGCTTTATCACCTTGTAATATTTCCTCATCTTTTGGTAAGATTTTTTGAAAGCAATTTATGATAAAAGACTAACTACTACAAATTTTTGAAAAGTTGGAATAACTGCATGCCTTTTGGTAAGAAATTCCTTGAGGACATGTAATACCCCAGTGTTTCTAAAACTTCATCTTCTCAACTTTGTGGACCATTTC